CCCTTTTGCTCCTTTGCATGCACACAGTTTCTTTCTGCTTTTTATAGTCATTTCACTGACTGTTACACGGCATCAGAATCGTTGCTCCAGGGAATGAAATGGTGCCCAAACTTATTCCACCTAGCCTAGCATGTGAGCTCCTTCACGCTTTTCCACATCATCCAGTCCCTTTAGGCCAGAAGAAGCTGGTGGCATAAAGTCAAATTTCTTTTCAGGATGGATAGACATATAAACTGACCTATTAACTCTCAGTACTGTGTGGTCCAGTATAAGCACTAAACAAAAAGCACTTGCTTCTTCTCCTTTGCAGAGCTGGCAGGAAGAGGCCCTGTGTGTAATTTACTCTGGGACCTGATTTTCAGGATGTTGAGACAGAAAACAGTTAACATCTATGCCTGCCACATTTGTGGGTAGGAAAGGGTGAGCTCTGCTTAATGGCACCTGGAGCTGGAGGAGCTCAAGTAATTGATTTAATTTGAGCAGCTGCATGAAATAGATCTTACTGCTAGCTCTGAAGTTGAGAGGTAATTGCAAAGTGTGAGAGAGTGAGGGGTTAAATAGAAAGTAACATATTCTATGAAGTCCATAGTAAGTACATATAACCCTTGTGGCTCTATCTATAGATATAGGTAGATATCTATACCTACATCTATCTATATCTATATCTACCTGATTTGGGAAGCTGAATGTGTTTATTTGCTCATCTCAAGCAATAAAAATCTCTTTGTCCCACAGAGTAGCAGTCCAGTGGTGTTTAAAAAGTTACTTCTTCCAAAATTAGTTCACTTTTTTACAGATGCTACTAGGATGAGTCGCAGTTATAGACTGAATAAAATCATTCTAGACTGAAGAATAGCCATTTTCAGATAAATAAGATAATGTAGTGAATATAACAGCTAGCTGGAGATATAACAGTGCTAGGACTAAATTCTTCACTGATTACTATGCAAATCACATACCAAGAAAGATTGCTGATATTGCAATATTCAGAGAAGAATGATCTACTGTAAAATAACTTCCTAGCTTAGATTTTTATAGTTTAACACTTAGAAACCTGTTTCAGAAAGCAGGTTGTTAGAGAGGACTAGCAGCTCTAGCAGAGGGTCAGAGGGTAGGGAGACTTTCAGTGAACTTTCCCTGCAAGTTTCCAGTCATTGCATTCAAACTGTCTTTTATTTTGCTGTCATTTGTCTGGTATATTCATGGTGATAAGTAAGGGTTGCTTTTAACATTTTGTAGTGCAAATATTTCCTGCTTGGTTAAAAAAAAAAAAAAAGGTCTTTTTATAGCCTTAGGTAATTGCATGAGCAAGAAATTACCTTAGAGCAGCCTTCCAGGACCTAAAAGGGGCCCTACAGGAGAGCCAGAGAGGGACTTTTTACAAGAGCATGTAGTGATAGGACAAGGGAGAATGGCTTTAAACTGAAAGAGGCAGAAATTCTTCCCTGTGAGGGTGCTGAGGCCCTGGCACAGGGTGCCCAGAGAAGCTGTGGCTACCCCATACCTGGCAGTGTTCAAGGCTAGGTTGGATGGGGCTTGGAGCAACCTGGTCTAGTGGAAGGTGTCCCTGCCTGTGGCACGGAACTTGGAACTGGATGAGCTTTAAGGTACCTTCCAACCCAGAGTAGTCTATGATTCTGATTCTTATGACCCTGGCAATTAAAGGTAGTTAGCAGCAGACTGGCTGGTGTGAACATCTGCAGGCAATAATTACAGCCTGTTCTCATTCCCCTACTTTGTGGGGATATGTGGTATTGTTGAGCTGGCCTGGTGAAGAAAACATGATCACTGTGGTCAGGATTTCAAGCTACTGAAGAAGATGCAAGTAGGTCCTGTCTTCTGTTCTAAGCTGTTGAAAAGATAGCTGGGCAGAAGTCTTTCTTTGCAGGTTTTGAACCAGTTTAGTTGCTAAAAGAATATGAGAAATAAAAATGAGCCATGTGAAGCCTAAGTTCAAGGAACAATTCAAAAGACCCTTCTAGCTTAGAAAAAGACTAATCTGATTTTTTAAGACTGAAATGATTTCTCAGGGAGAGCTTTGTTCTACCAGTTAGGCATGTAGTGCAAAAGGAACTGCTCTTTATCACTGCTGCTGTTTGGTTTATGGGCTGAAAACAGCAAGTGAGAAGGCATGATATCCAACCTGAGAATGACACTCCTCAGTCACAGTAAGGCAAACAGTGCTTTGCAGTGCTAAATCCCATCTTCTCTCCTCTCCTTGGCCTGTTCCCCACCAATGGGGAAGCAGCCATGGCATGAACTTCACTGACAGATTTCAGAGGGCCCTAATGTCTATATACACTACATGTCAAAGGTTGCAGATTCCCTTTTCTTTTTGCATTATGCCTGGCTGCCAGAAGGGGATTTAGTACTTATTTGTGTGCTGATAATTAAAGTGTTTGTGATACTGAAGGACAAATCACCCTCCCCTGGAAATTAAGCACTCATGTTACAACCTCTTGATCCTTAGTGAGTATTACATTAGTCAATTTGTGGCTAGCCCAGTAACTCAATAGCAGTGAATTATGCAGTTATGTGGGAAATCTGGTTTTTGGAACAGGCTGATGTTCCCAAGCTCAGGCCCAGCACTGGTAGGGTGTGTCATCTGTGGGAGGCACTTAGCGGAAAGAAAAAGCTGCGAAGCCAGAGTCTAGTGCTTTCTGGAGGACAAAATATAGCAGCAGTATTACATTAGGGTAAGAATGGGAACAAGCGGATTATTTCACCACCAGAACATTTCTCTGTAGTGGGCAACTGGTTGGTTGAACAGGCTTTCCATTGACACGATGTTCAATTACATGTTTTACTAATGACTATTTTAGGTTTAGATGTGAAAGGTTTGAGAGTGGACTTGTGCTGACTGATGTCCTGTCTGTACCTGCAACTCCATGCTTAAAAGTTTTACAGGACCCAGTATAAGTCACTGGAAAAGACTATTCCATTTCCTTGGCGGATAAATGAAAGAAACTAATCTTGATTTGTGGCAGAAGCAAGTCTTAGTCCTGGTGTTCACTTACACTTGTGCTGGATTTAATCTAGTGCTGGATTAGGTAACTGTCAGAATCTTAGCCCACCATGTCCATGTCAGTCCAGACTGAAGGAAGGAGGGATGACATCTAAGGGCCCATGACTAAAATACATCTCTTTGCACTCTAAAAGTAGTTCTGTTGTTAAACTCCGCTCTGAGCGCCACTGATTTCAGCAGTCAGGCTCTCACTGTATTTTTGAAGATGGCAGTACCTTCAGTCCTTATATACCAGCCTGGTGCTTCTTCGTGTTTTCTAACACATTCACAGTTCAAATTTACTCTGGAAATTAGGGACAAAATCAGATTGTGATAAAGCCAAGTAATAATCTGCTGAAGTCATAGGAAAAAATCAAAAGATACCAACAACTTATTTGTTACCAAGTGCCAGACTCTGCTCTGCCTTGCGTACCTGTGCAATTTGATTTACTAAATAACGGGGATGTTGGCCTGTGTGAACCCCTTGCTTTCAGCTCTGGAGAAGATTTTCTCTTCAGGACCATTCTGCGATAGATGCAAAGGTCTGGAATCTAAGATACCTTCCTAAGCCACATAGTGAGGTGCATTTTTGTGTGTGTGAGTCCCTGCATTCCAAGAGATAGAATGGTATTGTTTTTTTTTTCTTTTATACAATAGCAAAAAACATGGCTTGAATTTTATAGTGATGTAAGTGAACACTTTGTAAGAAGTGCTTGAATTATTGTATGGCTGTGTCCAAGGCTACCATATCAAACGAGTCTTTCAGAGCTAAGATTCTTGTCCAAGAACCCACCCAAAACTTTATTGTATGAGGTATGAAGCAATAACGGGACCCACTGATTCATCATTTGATGAAACCAGGAGTGCCTAGTATTGCCCAACGTAAGGTTACATAGGGCCCTAATGAAGTGTTTCTCTTGCATAAAAGGGAACAGATGTAGCCAACCTCATGAGAAACAGAGCTGTGACCTGCTGTGAGTTCCCATTGGGCAAAGTTTCTTTCAGATCTGAGAAGTTGCTCCAGCTGAGTCAGAATATTCCTCTGGTACCACCATGCCTCTGCAGGCTAGATATCTAAATTCAGATCTGGGTTGCTGTAGGCAGCATTCTACCATGTTTCATTTAGTTACTGTATTGGCAAAATATCTGTAGACTTTCCAAACTGCTGGAAACCTGACTGCTAGCTGAGGAGCTCTGCTCTACAGACTAACAGAAATTGTCCACAGACTGGTTCTACCCTCAAGGCTTGTGGTATATGTCACATAGGCAAAGTGACAAGGCTTGATTCGCCAAGTTTTGGACGACCAGAGGTATTTTGAGTCTTCCTGCTGTACTTTGAGCTAGAAATGTAATTGTGTTTGCCCCAGAAGTAACCTGGTGGCAACAGGGTAAAGTAGAAAGTCTGGTGTTTTGACAGAGGAATAAATGTGAGAAAGTGGCTCTTGTGAGCTTGTACCAGTCTTAACATAAGGATATGCTGTAGTGAAGAGAAAGTACACTTCTGACAGTAACAGACTAGGTGAAGAATAGAAAAGAAATACTAACAGGTTTGTTGCTGAGTGAGGATTTCTAAGTGTGTTTTTGCATCTCTTGATGAGCTAAAGTCTTCAGGCCAGAGCTTATAAATCCAAACAATAACTTGGGTAAACAGTACAATAAGTGGTCATGTACTGTATTTCTTCTGCGCTGAAGTACGCAGCACGCTGACATCCATTCCGGTTACTATGTATTGATGCAAGTGTTTCAGGGAACCTGGTGTTAAGGGCTGCGATAAACCCAACTGCCATGATGGGGCATGTTCCCACTGGCATTTTTGTTGCCTGTCACCCCATACCGGTGTTGTTTGTTCAGTGGGGTTAGTTACTCTGAGTTCCAAACCAGATCTTTATTAAAGCTTCCAGGAAAGCAACAGCACAGTGGATGTCAACAGGGCCTTCAGCATCAAAGCCACAGAATAAAATTATAGATGGAAAAGACCCGTTAGGTCATCTACTCACCCCATCAGCCAGTGCAGAGCTGTTCAGTGTGGTGTGCTTTTTCCCTTCTTTGTCTGCATCAAGCCAAAGGGGTTACCACAGCTTCCCAGGAGACTGTGACATAGCTGACTAGTTCTTGCCCTTAGGAATAACTTTGAGTCTGTGAAATAACAGAAGCATTCTATGTTTAATTTTGGTGGAGGAAAGGAACCCTGAGCCTTATGACTGTATTGTATCTCAGATATAATTCTATGTTAATCACTTCTTCTATATAGATCATATGAGGCTAAGTGTGTCCCACCCCACAGCTGTCTCTTTCAGTAATTATTCCTTAGACATATTTTGTCATCTTTCAGTAGTAAGTAGTGCGCAAACCATGAACAATTGCATTTCACTTGGCAAATGTTTGGAATTTGCCCTAACTAGTGTTTGAAGTGTTTTGTCTGACTCTCACTCCTTTTAATTGTGCCAAAGTTCTTTGGCAATTGGTGATCTGATATCCCAGAAACCCATAAAAATTAATTCCAACATATTTTCTTTAGGTGAATTAAAAACACTCAACAGATGTTTACTAAAAACAACTGCATTTATAGATACAGGACTCCTGACAGCTATTGATTTAAGACTTCCAAATGTTTTCATTCAAATCCCTTGGGCACCTACTGTTGATAATTTGTAACTTTCTGGCATCTTGGTCTCTTGCAAGGAAATGCTTCAGACCAAATATCTGAATGTGCTTTTTGACCTTGGGTATTGGGCATTAACAACCATAAATCCAATTATTTTTTTTCAGAGGGAATAAAATACTTCCATAGCTATTAAAACATGAAATCCTCTATGTGCATATAAACTGAATTTGACTATGGTGATAGTTTTAAAGCAATGCCAGTACCCTTGGTATTCTGATGAGGGCTACATCAGTTTCACAGCTCTCAGCCACTGAAAATTATATCTAGCATGCAGGATAACTTTAAAAATGCTAGCTGTAGAGCTATGGAAGGCCATGACAAGTACCATTTTGTGATTGTTTGAGTTGCGCTTCACACAATGAGTTAAGAATTCAGAAAAAGCCTTTGTCTGCCACTTTGGCTATGGGGAAAAGGGGGGAATCTGAATACCCAACGTCTTTGTTAGCAGTTGGATGTCACTTTCTTTTGTTTAGCTTTGCACAGCACTCTGTGTAATGTAGGAATATAATAAAGCTTTGCCAGCAACAGCACCAGACTTTATGAACACGCACAGGCCAGTGAGACTATATAATGTACTGTATCATAAGGCAGCAGTAGAAGAGGCAACCTAATAGACCTGATGGAGTTGTAACAAAATGGTTTTCCCTAGGCTATTGGCATATGCTTTATAGTGCTAAACCAGGAATTTTGCTCTTAGGCATTAGAATTAAAATTAGACCTAATTTGTAAGAATTTTTCCTTTGCACCAGTTAAATAGACCTTAAATTATTTCTCTACTGTTCATTAGAAGTAAGCAAGTTTCACATGAATCTTCCAACCTCCTATTTAAACACTCCTATCATTGCCTGCTAGCTGATGGTGCACCTGGAAAATGAAAGTTTGGCAAACCAGAAGGTAGAGATCAATGAGCAAAGGCATGAGGGAAAAACATCTTATCCAGGGAGACCCTAAGGGATCATAAGGTATGAATTAAGCCTTGGCTTTCTCCATATCTATTCTATTTGTACAGTAATAAACCCCAATATCATTCCTAACCCGGGTTAGTACCAACAACACAGTGTCATGATTAACAATCCTACCACAGCCAGGCAGCCATGATGTCAATGTTGTATTGTTTTTTGCTAATCTGTGGCTCTAGAGGCACTCGGTGTTCTCCAACAGCTCCAGTATATCGGAAGCTGGAAGAGTAACCAATTTGCTGGGCAGATGTGGCTGCATGCTGCGTTATCAGTGCATGTTGTTGCACACCAGCCCAACACTGGGAAAAAGCTGACTCTTCCAGACAGCCATGGCCGTGGCTTTGCATGAATTTCTTCAGCCTGAATGCCAGCTTAAACAGAGCCTAGCCCTCTCCTCATCCAACTGTTCTATTGTTTTGGCAGCTACCCAAAAATTCTTGGAATAATTGCAAATGATTTTTCATTTAGCTTGTATGCAATGATTTTTCATTTAGCTTGTATGCAATCCTGGCATCAGTGATCATTTGCATGTTTTGATATATACATAGCCATGCCCTCAACACATGTTCTGAGCATTCGAAGAACAAACTTCAGGACAGAGGTGGAGTCCAATTAGTTGTTATTGTTATTAGTGTAGGTTCTTACAGTTTTAAAATCAACTTAATTAACAGAAAATGATGATGCAAAAATAAATAGGCAGGTCCTATTGGCAAGCAGGTGCCCAGGATCAGACAGGACTGAAAAACCCAGAATCCTGTAGACTACTCAGAAGTGCCTGAGCTGTGTTCTTCTGCTCAGTCTAGGCTGTCCCATAAATGCTAAGCATCTCAAAGGTTATCCAAATAAAAAGTAAATGCAAAGAGCGGCTACTTCTCCCACACAGCAGACTTTCAGCCTGCTCAGGATACAATGGTGAAAGCTTGCCTCTGGACTATTAGTCAGGCTTACTCAGCTGGCATTTGGGAAAGTTATGAACAGCAGTCTGGAGGCTCTGTGCAGGTGACCTGGGGTGGGACACAATACATGTCATGCTTCCAGAAATATGAAGCCCTTTTTACAGATGCTCTTAAAGCCTCTCTCAGCTAGAAACTGGTATCAAGATGTACAGTAATGCACTTAGGTGATGAATTATGCTCTGACAAAAATAGCAGTACTTAGCTGCCACCCTGGTGCAGCAGTTTGGCTTTTCATCTGGCAGCAGTCTTCCAGGCAGTGAGGTTTATCCCATTTTTTCCTGGATAACTTTTAATATTAACCATATCAATTAAACTAGTAAGACAAAAAACAAACCCTAACCCCCTCATGAAACCAAAAACCCACAAACCACCAAATCAACCAAAAAAACCCCACCCCAAACAAAAAAACCCTCACCAAGATGATGAAATGTGAGCTCAGTCCATTCTGACTCAGCTGTCTCCTCTTCAAATCCAGGGAGGGCAATGAGTTTTCTCTGTTGCTGGATCCATGATTTGTTGGCATTGTCACAGCTCCCTTTTCAGTTTTCTCACAATGCTAATGCCTTAATGCAAGTTAAGAAAGGTAAGAACAGGACTGAAACAACATACCTTTTCCCCTAACAAGAACCTCCTCCTTTTCTTTAAGACTGCTGCCAGCCTATGTATTGCTATGATACAGTGTTATAGGATAGAAAAATCATTCTTGCAGAATTTAAATGGCTTGACTTAGCTGTACTGCTGATAGTTCGGCTTGCTGCCAGCAGTAACTTCTACATAGAAGCATAGGAAAGTGAGACTCGTGTTTTGCGTTTGCTGCTGTGAAAACCTGACAGTGGTGTTCCTTGATGTGTTACTGCACCCTAAGGAAGGGTACCTGCAATTTGGCAGTGGCCAGGGTGCAAGCTAATGACAGCAAGAAGGTTGTGGTCAGGACTGAAGTGTATTAGCAAGGCAGCACTGGATACTACATACGGCCATGCTTGCTAGACATGGCACAATTAGCTTGGCTGCAAAGGAAAAGGCAAATTTTCTTCCAACTAGGACACATAGTTATTTTGTCTTGGACACTTGGAGACAACATTTCAGACTAGGAATCCATAAACCACAAAATACTCATGTTAAAAGAATGTGGCCGAAGGTACTACATTCATGACTGTTTGTTTTTTCTTTTTCCTTTTACAAAACAAAAGGAAATTGCTTTGCTGTAATCAATAGTAGTCAAAAGATAACTTGCTTCAGTTTGAGGATATCAGCTTTAAATATTAAGGCTACAAGCAATATTAATTGATATAAACCTCATATTTCTGTTACAAAATCTGCTACACAAATGTTCTGTAAAAGCCAATGATTATTATTACATTTTTGTGACATAATGGAAGAAAAAAAATGAAGTTTAAGGGAAAGAAATAAGTATGCCTTTGCAGCTCCCATGTTTGTTCAAGCATATTTTACATATTAAAATACAGTAGTTACTTTCTGGATGAGGGTTCTCAAATTATTAATCTGTCAGGTTTTCAGAGCTGGCAGGGTAAAAGGTTTTCTTGCTCTCTTCTAACAGAGAAAAGGGAAAGCATCACTTTGGTGGTAAAGAGCTAAAATAACTACAAAGTTAATGGAGGGAAAATTTACGAAAATAATTGTGTTAATTCACTTCAGCCCTGATCCTGCAACCTTTTACCATGCAATGACATTTTTTGCTCAGCAGCAGACCCAGATTTACACTTTGCAGAATCACATCCATACTGACGTAGAGGTTGCCAAAGAGCTGTTGGTGAGGGAAGTGCCGTGTGTGCCAGTTCTAGAAACCAGTAAGGCAGTACAGTCTGCCCTATATTTTCAGAGTTTTGGTACCTCACATAACTAGGTGCGAAACACTTGTATCTCTGGTTCTTTTCTTTGGAAGTGCAGTCATGTGCAATCAGGTGGAATAAGTATGCTGATAATTTTCCTTCAGAAATTGTAATGGTTAGTGATGTGGACACTTTTCTTTTTAGGCAGAAAACCATAAGGCACTGAAGCAAGCATTCACTTTTCTTGCACTTGAGGTCACAAATTTATGCAAGTCAAAAATGTTGGGCCTGCCAAAAACATCATGCTACACTCCACCAAATAAAAGGACACTGTTATTCTTACAAGGAAAGGTTTGACAGGACAGGAAATAGGCAGGGTCATAGAAGTTTACTTAATACCGAAACTTATTTAACCATCTTTAAGCCAAAATACAATGATAGTTATTTAAATAAAAATTAGAAGAGGAGGGGGAAAACAAGAATAAAAGAACACCAAACTGTGCTATTACGGGAGTAGCTACCAATAGAGAAACTAGAGAACCTTAATAAAAATTCACATAATTTGGGTTACTCTGTGTCACCTGCCTTTACTGGGTTAACACATATTAAGTAAGTTTTAATTTATGTCCTGAACTTACAGCAAGAGGCATCTGATTTGGAGAATCCATTGCCATTTACAAAGCTATACACTACTTTCATTAAAATGCAATCCTTAAGGAAGACTGCATTCCACTTAAAGGACTGGCGGAAGGAGGACTAAGAAGAGAGTGAATATGAAAGATAGGAAAAATGTTGCTGTTCATTACAATTTTCCATTTTTGTTGAAGCGCAGCAGGAGAGCAAAGCCACAGGCTTCTCTACTGCTCTTGCATGCCAGGAGGGATTATGCAAACACTGCAACCACCCAAATCTTATTTAAATTATAGTCATTGTTCCCCCTTTAATGGTTATACTTTTGCCTGCTTTCACTCAAATATTGCTGCATCTTGCTTTCTGCCAACATAGTCCCAATGGGAGTCATCAACTCTTAATTATAGATGAACAGATATTTTTTTAAAATACCTCTGGAAAAAATAAGTGGAAGAGAAAGCAAACTTTAAGTGCCATCTAGTGGCTGATCTACTAAAAACATTGAATAAATCCAACGAATTCTTAACATGACAAATGGCTCATATAGTTGTAGCTGAACTGAGGAAGCAAATTCACGACTGCTTAAGACCAGGTTAATACTTCGGGGAACCAAGAAAAGGACTAAAGGCCAACGGTATTGTTACCATAATTCTTCTTTTTTCCTTTGCCCCTAAGTTGTGAGTTCAAATGATAGGAATTGTACAGTGATCACGGTTCTCTTCAAGACCCTCATCAGCTTATCAGCTTCTGGCTTTCTAAGGAAATACAAGTCGTATGTATTTCAGTCTAAATCAGAAAACAGAACCTTTCAGGTCTCGAAACAGAACCCAAGCCATAGGAGTGAATCAAGCATCTGAATTCAGAAGTTACTTTCTCTAAATTCACCTGGGGTCAAAGGCCAGATTTTCTCTCTCTCTCTGCTTGTAACAAGTCAAATCCATTCCTAAAAGAAAGGGAGCAGATTGTCAGTTAGTAATATCCTTTTCATTTCCCTGCAGGAAAAAGCTATTTTCTGCTGTAGATGAGAATTCCCAACAAATTATTTTCCACTGCAAAAGCTCCATGTTCCATTTACACAGGGGACATCCCACAAGATCATTCCCCAAGCTTTTAAGTAACTTCTCTTGGGAGATTTGTCCCTTCTCCAGCAGTAGCTTTGTCTGAACCTGTTCAGTGATAATGGAAAGCAGCCCAGCATAATTATTATTGAATGTAATACTCATTTCGGTTTTTTGCAAATAGCACTATGGAGCTTTACATCTCTTCAGTTTCATACCTATATTGAGCCCTGGGGATTACACCTTAGTGACAGGTTTTGGAGACAGGAATCTGTCTAGATAGAACTGAAATCTATGCATGTTCGTGTCTAGCTTCTCAGAAGGTTGCTTGCTCAAGCATGTTCAATTTTTCATTGAATTACAAAACTAATTTGCAACTAATTAATTTAGGGAGAAGGCTAGATCTCAGATATAGTAATGAACAAGATCCACCTGTTTCCAAGGTCTCTCTTCTTTCTGCTAATATAAAGATTCACACATTCTGATTTCTGTTCAAGAGGATCAAACGTGCTAATTAAAGCTTAAAATGTACCAGAATAAAGAAGCAAAATTTAAACCTTGCTGAAGAAGTGCTGCTTTATCTTTTTTTCCCTCGCTTACAGGGAGAGGGTGATTTTTATGAGTCAGAGCCAGGGATACCTTGCCAGATACCAAGATCAAATACTTTTGTAGCACAGGTAATATTAATGGAAAAAGGGAACACCAAAATAATTTCATACTAATGAAATTCTAGGACTTTATTAAAAAAAGGGGGGGGGGGGGAGAAGAGGCAGCATAGTTTGAACCAGAAAATAGCAAATACTGTTGTTAGAATTCTCTACTCACTGCCAGTACAAAAAGTTTCTACAGATTTCAATACAGACCCTGGTCTGCAGTAGCAAGTATTGACTTAAGAACTTTCAATACATTGGTATGTAATTCTCGTTGCCTGGTTAGAAATATTTCTCTCCTATAGATTTACTACTCTTATTGAAACAAAACCCCAACACTAAAAGGAACTATCAGAATTTGTTACCCTAGTGCAACGGTTTGATGCAGAGGGAGGAGTTCAGTGTGGAGGTGAGCTTGAAAGCATTTGTTGTGTCAGATGAAGAGGCTTTTCCAGGGTCCTACTGGCAAGAGCCTTGCAAAAATCTTAAAACTCATTTCATGGTTCTATAGGAAAGTATTGAGAAATGGTGGAATGGAACTCAACTATACCAATTGTCAAAATAAGGGAGCTTTTTTTGGTAGACACTTAGATAACAGTCTGTATGCTACCAATTTACAGAAGGCGTTGATTTGTAAATTTATGCTTCTTCCTTGTGCATCTGAGACAGCTTCTGAAACAGCGCTTTTTCTAGCAAATACCGTTCCTTCTGTCCTGGGTTCAGCAGTAGCAGTCATTTTTCCCCTTCTTGGTAGCTGGTGCAGTGCAATGTTTTGACTTTCAGTTCGGGAACAGAGCTGATAACAAGCGATGTTTTGGTTTGGCCAAGGACTCTGTGAGCCTCATGCTCTGCCAGGGAGGAGGGGGAGCCAGGAGGAAGCAGAGACAGGACACCTGACCCAAACTGACCAAAGAGGTATTCCATACCACAGCACGTCATGCCCAGGATGTAACGGGGAGTTAGCCGGAAGGGCTGGGGGACTGCAGGGTTGGAGGAGGTATCGGTCGGAGCTTGGTTGGGCCTGGGGGGCGAGTTATCGGTCAGCTGGTGGTGAGATGATGTATTCTCTTCTCTTGTTATTTCCTTTATCATTATTATCATTGGTGGTAGCAGTAGTGATTTGTGTTATACCTTAGTTACTAAACTGTTCTTATCTCAACCCGTGGGAGTTGCATTCTTTTCGATTCTCCTCTCCGTCCCTCCGAGAGCAGGGGGAGGGCAAGAAAAGGGGGGAAGTGAGCGAACGAGTTACCTGACTGGGTTTAAACCACGACAGTTCTTTTTGGCGCCCAACGTGGGGCACGAAGGGTTGAGATAATGACAGATTTGACTGGATTAATAGTCACTCGTCACAATGCTGATTTATTGGGTCTCAGAGTTGTTTCGCTTGATCTCACAGCTTCAGAATGTTGTAACTTACGTAGAGCCGGTATTTGCTGTGATAGTGTTTATCAAGTATGGGGCCTGGGCTAAGGTTCTTGTATCACTGTGCTTTATGGCAATGGCTTGTAATACGGACGGGCTCCAGCAGCAGGGCGGGACGGACGTGGCCGTGGACTTGTACCTGGCCGTCCGGCTGCTCTTCACCGTCCTGGCCCTCACCCTACTCTCCATCTTCGTGAGGCTGCGGGGAGCCGAGGGGGAGCGGCCCCGGGAGCCGGCGGCAGCCGAACCGGCCCGGGAGAGCGGCCCCGGGGACCAAGCGGCGGCGGGAGCGGAGCCGGAGGCCGCGAGGGGACGGCTGCCGGTGGAGGAGGTCGGGGCGGTCGAGGAGCAGAAGGAAGCGGCTGCCGAGCAGCGGGAGAAGGCGGCGGAGGAGCCGAGCCCCGCGGCGGAGCCGAGCCCCGCGGCCGAGCCGAGCCCCGCGACAGCCGAGAGCATTTCCCGGAAGCCGCCCGCCGAGCCCCAGGAGGATGCAGGAGACCACGCAGCATTTCCCAGCAAGGCAGAGGGGGAAGAGCTGGACTCAGGAAAAGAGAAGCTGGCGGTGGGAGAGCCGGCAAGCACAGCAGCTACACCAGCCCCAGTGACAAGTACAGCAGCTACACCAGCCCCAGGGACAAGTACAGCAGCTACACCAGCCCCAGTGACAAGTACAGCAGCTACACCAGCCCCAGTGACAAGTACAGCAGCTACACCAGCCCCAGGGACAAGTACAGCAGCATCGTGTGAGAG